AATTTCCTCCTAACATCTAAAGTAAATTTCCTCTCTTTTAGTTTAGAACCATACCCTCTTGTCCTATCATTACAGACAGTGTAAAAAGTTGGTGTCCCTCCTCCTAATAAGCTCCTTTTCAATACTGGAAGGCTGCAGTGACGTATCCTGGAGAACAAGCCCAGCTCCTTCAGGCTGTCTTCATAAGAAAGGTTCTTCAGCCCCCTGATCAATGTCCCCCTTCTGGACCCACTCCAGCAGATCCATATCCCTCTTGTGCTGGGGGCCCTGGGCCTGGGCACAGTATATCAGATGGGGCCTTACAAGGCAGAGTACAGGGGGACAATCGCCTCCCTCTCCCTGCTGACCACCCCTCAAGTCTGTTGGCCTTCTAGGCCTCGGGAGCATACTGCTGGCTCATGCTGAGGTTTTTGTCCATCAGAACCCCCAAGTCCTTTTCCACAGGGCTGCTCTCAAATGAGTTCTTCTCCCAGTCTGTACACATATCTGGGATTGCCCTGACCCAGGTTTAGTACTTTGCACTGAGCCATATTGAACCTCATTAGATTCACAAACATGGCATAGATGATAACTGTGTGGAGAGGTTGCTGACATTTCACTTTTGCCATTTCTGCCCCCTCTTTCCAGGGCTAGTTCCCTTCCCGATGGCCTGAGGGCTCTGCTCAGTCTGCCAGAGCCCATCTGCCACGTGCTGAGTTCCCAGAGTTCAATTTGTGAGGTTTTTGCTGTGTTGTTCTTTAAAGTGCTAGCTTGGCCTTTCTAATACATTTTCAATGGTTGGGATTAGCAAAGCTTGTAAGAACATAACAGACCTGTCAGGTCTACAAGTCCACTGCCACCTCCACCCACTTACATATATTTTTAAATAGCTAATTAGGAGATAATGCCAGTGGAACCAAATACTGTTACAAGATAATGATCTCACACTGCTACAAAAATGTTAAGTGGGAATGTTTATTTTCGAAGGGGAGAAACGCTGATCGTGTGCCTAATCCTATAATTCTTAAGCAAGTAAAATTCCTGTAGATTTCAGCAAAGCCTGAGGTGACAACATCCTATTACTGTGATAGTTTTCTGGATACCAAACGGCTGTAAGTGATGCCGTCATTTTCTCTAAATGACACTGGTGCAGTATTGGAACAGATGTTTCCCTTACCTTTATTAGCCTGTTGTATCTTCTAACTTGGAGGACAAATTCTGCATGTGCTTCATTGCACCAACTTAGATGATTTTTAGATGTGCTTTAGGAAGCACTGAGCTGTGGTTTGGATGAAGTTATGCTTATTTTTAACTTCCTGACAGCTCATAATGGCGATGCGCAAGCCTGTGTTGCCTCTGCAGGTTCCCTTTGGTACACTGAGGATTACCTACATTTAAATCAGAGGGCTTTTCCTCTATCCTGCAGGCAGTTCAGAAACAAGGGCTGTCTTAAACTTGCCTGTCAGGAATAAATCACCCATCATTCTGGAGGGATGAAGGAGTACACGTGCACAACAGGCACAAGTCCATCAGCTGCTCTGGCAGAACTGTCCCATGCCGCTCCTTCCAAATAAGAGGTGAGGTACAATTTGGGGCAGCCTGACCCCTCTGTCAGGCTCATCCTGATGTCTGTGTTCCCATCATAGTGTTGGTGGAGGCTGCTCTGTGTAAATCCAGCTTGGGTCTTCTCTGGCTCTGCAGTGAGGCAGTGCTTATGGCATGGGTTCATCTGCCTTCACTGCTTTTTTCCTCTGGCCTCCCTTTAGATTCAGTGTTGTCCTACAAATAGGTGAACACTGCACTGGGAACTTGAGGCAGGTGCAGAGCTGCTTTCAGAGAAAAACCTGTCAAAGAAAGTATGAGAGTTTATCCTGGATCAAATCTACTTTCACGACTTGTTAGTTGCACTATGGAGAAGGTGGCCAGTGGTTTTTAGAAATTACTGCTGCTTTCACAATTAATGAAGATTCATCATTCCATTAGATCATCTCTAACCTGCTGTAATTGTTCTGATTTTTATTTTTTACCTCGTTCTTCAGTTCATGTCTAAATACAAGAAGATGTTTATATTGCATACATTCAGCTTTAATTGGCCCTTAAAAGAAGGTGTTGATTAGAATCTTCTCAACATCAACAGCTCGCTCGCACAACATTCTCTAATTACTGTTTATTAATTTAGTTCAAGTGGCATAGTTGAAAGCCCTGCTCAGATGGGAGAAGTAAATTGTCACTGGTATTGAATATGTAAATTATGTGCCGGGTAAGTTTCCATGAAGAATGTTTAAAGTTAAATGCTACGCACTTAGAGCCTTCTAGTTTCATCTAACCCAATATGACAGCCTTGTAAGAATTGTCATGAAAATTTACCAGCCCTGGCAAAAAACTGCTTGCCTATATTTTCCTTTTTACTATTAACATAATCATGATGATAATAGCAATTTATTTGCTAGTCAAAAAATAAATAAAAATCATTCACACCAACTGGATGGAGGTTTGCAAGGCTGCCAGTTGAATGTGAACTGTGCGTTGCAGTAGTATAGACATTCAGCAGCCTGGATTTGTTGCCCTAGTGCAGTGACCCTTCCTTCTCTTTAATTAGCTTATAAAGTCAGAATTTCTTAAACAAAGTGCTCATTAAACATTGCCTTGTTATATTACTTTAAAATGCAATTAAAAGTTTTAAGATTGCCGCAGAGTTTGCATACCGTTGTCAGTGCCCATGTCACTCGCTATCAATTTCCACCCACTCACATAGATTGGAGGCTTCCTGTTAAATATAGATGGCACTCCATAGCCTTTGTGTATAGAGAAGGCATAAAGCAATGTCCTGATGAGGATGATGTGACTGCATCATATACCTGAAGGAAGATGGGAATGGAGGGGAGGATATTCTCAAGGTAGGAGAACCTGGGAGTTTTCACTGTCCTTCACTCTGCACTTGTCTCTGTGTGTTCTGAGAAGTGTGCTGCTTCGAATCTTCCCAAAGAAAGTTGCATGGAAATACTTTGCAGTTATTGTATTATGCATCCGAAGCAATGAGACGAGACAGTGCTCTAAAAGGGAAAGAAAAATATCCAGTGCCTGAATTGTGCAGGGGCCTTCACCCAGTCCTCACACTCTTGCTGGCTGCTGTTATCATGAGCAGCACTAATCAATTCCAGGAAATCTCCACACCAAGCATTATGTCACATGTGGTTACATCATTCTCTATAACCTCTAGGGCTTCCTGCTGACATCTTCGGAGCTCTTATACTACCAACTGGTATAAAAAGAAGTGCCAAACAGTATTTTTAGCCATTTGAGCCTGCCAAAAGGAATCCAAATGTCTCCATCTTGTGCCTTTCACCTGCTGATCTCATCTTTGCTCTCAAAACCAAAGCAATGCTCTGTGGGTTTCCCCAGGTGTTTATAAAAAGGATATCAGGAGCATGTGAGAGGGTTTTTGAAACAGAAGGTGCTAATGCCACTGCAAAATTTATTTATTTTTAATGCCTACCAGATTGCTAATCCAGCTTGTCAGTTGTGTAACTTCTGTTGTAACTTCCACTACAGGAGGTTATCCCTCTTTTTTTTTCCTGTATTATTTCCTAGGAGGTGCTACTTACCAATGTGAGTTATGTTTTGCTTCAGGGTTGACTTCCAAGTGCTGTTCTGTGGGGTGTTTCCCCCTTCCTCTCTGCAGGGCCACCTCACAGGTGTGCAGGGGACAACAATATGCTACTGCTTCTCCTGCCAAAGTCACTTTCCCAGCAGTTCAGTTGAAAGAGGCAAGGCTCAAGCCCTATGCTGCAAGATTATTCCTTCTTGAAACCACTGCAATGTCTCTTGGTTTGAGTCTTGTTTATTATTATTATTTTCTGGTTTATGTCTTCCTTTCATTTGAACAGTTTGATTTTTGTGGCTGTTTCTGTTTGTTCAGTGCTGCAGTAGATAACAACAACATGATTAAATTCCAGCTCTGACTGTTGCAACATAAGCGCTCTGCCTTCATTATCCTTGGTGCCTAAAACTATTTGATCTCTAATATGTTCGCCTGCAAGTGTGCCTCATTTGCATGATGAGGCTAACTGGTGAAGCCTGGTTGCATATTGGTCTCTGATTTCAGTTTCTCTTCAATCAGATGCGTCAAACAGAAGGAACTATTAGAATTGCCAGCAACTGTATTTTTTTTCTACGAATCATGCTAGAATACTAGGATTCTCAGGCATTCTTACGAGGCTGGACAAATCCACCAATAAAAGGCATGAGAGGGATTCTCACGGAAAGCCATTTACAAAGGGCTGTGCTGGGGATTGTTGGTCTGCTGTGGTGGCACAAGCTGTTAAGACCAAATCCAATAGCTGGACACCCTCCTTTGTTAAGCAACACTTCCCATAGCCACTGGCCTGAATGAGGAGCTGTGTCACCTAGCAGAGACCTCTCCCTGTGCCCAGCACAGCCAGGTCTGCCTTCAGCCTCTCTGAGGGTCAGACTCTGCCCCAGCTTGCGGCCACCCTGCCTGGGTGCTTAGACCCAACTGACACTTATTTGGCTGTGCGGCCTTCTTGGGTTTCACTGCGCAAAGTTTGCAGGGAGAGAAAACATTTTTTCTCACCTCAAGCATTTGGGAACACAAACCTTTCTTTGTGTCTAAAATTGAAGAAAAGAGCTAAATGCAAATAGAGAATAGAGACGCAACGGTCCTGAGATTCATGGCAATAGCACTGAAAATGTTTCAAGTTGCCTGTTTCCTTTCTGGATCATGCTTAGGGTAAACTGGTGGGTTCTACATAGTTTTCAGTATTATCTTAAGAAATGTGATTTGACCCCTTGCAACATCCCTTGTTTCTCCCATTACAGAATTCTGCTTCTTAAGTGTTATAATGTATACCAAAATCTGTATTTTCGTTTAAGACCATTTTTAATTGAACTAATTATCTTTGTGAACAAAGAAATGTTTCTTATTGACTCAAATGGGTTCTAGATTGAGTCTTCATTTCACACATAAGAATGACTGCTTTCTTTTTTTCTTGGGATAGGACAGATAGCAAGAAACCAAACGGTGCAGAGGCAAACAAAGGAACTCTGAGGATCCCATCAGCAGTGATTGCTTTGCACACGAACGGTATTTCTTCCCCAGCATATACTTCCAAGAATTTTTTAAAATGTCATTCATATATCATCTGCACTAGCAGACAATAGTTGTTCCAGAGAAGCTGTTGCTCTCTATTAGGTCAATGATCAGTGAACTAAACATTTTCTACTTAGGCCTTCATATGATAAAAGCCTAAGAGCTTTGAAGGAGCCATTACAGACTATTGTCTAGAAGAAATATCCATTTGAAAATTCTGCAATTATGTACTTCTACATAGCGTGTAAAAGGAGCTCTGGACCCATTATGGGTTATTGAGTAAATAATGTATTTTTAAAAGTGTCTGAGTAGTTTATACATAGCCTGTATTGGCAGCAAAGAGTGATTGTAGAATAAACATTGTGTCTTCCTTTTAAAAAAAATCTCATTTAAATCCCTAAATAGCAATTAAAAAAAGAAATCCCTGATGCAGTTTCAGTTTTTCAATAGTAGTCACTAGCTAATGTCTCTGACTTTACTCCACCATATTGCACTGAGCCAGTTTTCTCTGGTGTGTGGTTTTTGTTTTTTTTGTGTGTGTGTGTGGTTTTTTTTGTGTTTATTGGATAGAAAAGGCTTCATTATCAAATATGATACAGAGGTGTCCAGAGGCCTCTGAAAGTTCAGATCCACAGTCATCAGACATGCCCATAATCAGGAACAGCCACTCATCAGAAGAGCCAAGAGTCCAGAGAGAAAAGCCATGAAGTTTGTCCTTTTTTCAGAGAAGAACTGAGAGGAAATGTGTTGCATGAGATCACAAACCTCTATTCTCTTGGGCAAGTTTGGTTTCTTGGCTTTAGTTTAGACCTTCTGTAGAAAGGCACCACGTGAGATCGCCATTTCTGTGGATCCTCAGTGCTAATGCTTGGAACAGTCTTGCTCCTTTCTAAGATGTCCACAATAGCTTTGCTCCAGACTACTGTGCTTTCAAGCACAGTCACTGGTCAAAGCAGATGTGAAAATACTGCAGTTCAAAATAGCTATATTGCAACAACAGTGCTAAAAAGCAAACTTCTGTTCCTATGTGCGGTGTAGTCCTTCATTTCATTTATCACATTACTATCTACTGCAGTGGAGAAAAGAAGGCTGTGGGGTGACCTCATTGCAGCCTTTCAGTACCTAAAGGGAGCCTGCAAAGAGGAGGGGAATCAACTCTTTGAAAGGGTTGAAAACTGCAGGACAAGGGGAAATGGTTTTAAGTTGAAGGGGGGGAGATTTAGGTTGGATGTCAGGGGGAAATTCTTCACTGAGAGAGTGGTGAGGTGCTGGAACAGGCTGCCCAGAGAGGTTGTGGATGCCCTGTCCCTGGAGGTGCTCAAGGCCAGCTTGGATGGGGCCCTGGACAGCCTGGTCTAGCATTAAATGGGGAGGTTGGTGGCCCTGCATGTGGCAGGGGGGTTGGAGATTTGTGATCCCTGAGGTCCCTTCCAACCCTGGCCATTCTGTGATTCTGTGATTCTGTGAGTTTATCTTCACATCTCCAAATACCTGTTAGACCAAGCAATTTGGAGGTGCCACATGGAGACTACAGTATTTATATATGCTTAAAAATCATACAGGGATCCTTACCTGAGGGTACAAAGTAAAACAGTTCTCTGCTTATGGTGATGCTCCAGCCTTAACTCTTTTATGCACATTTCCCTGGCATAAGTTAGAGATGAAGTCACTTAATTTGTTGTTCTTGAATTTGTAGGTCCAGACCTGTAAGTGGTCTTGCTCAGAAAATACCCTAAAAATCAGCAGGAAGCAGACATCTGTTAATAGGACTGCCAGGAGTTCTGAATTCCCTTTTTGGAGGCTATGTAATACCTATCCCTGCTGTATGAATCCATGTGCATGTTCAGAACAGATCGTGTGCTTCCCATAGCTATGCTGGTCAGTCACACCTCAAGAACATAGTCTTTAGATCTAAATTTGAGTCATTGTATACAAAGTGTTTTCAATGCAGTGAACAGAAATGTGGCTTTTTGGCTGCCCTCTGAGGAGATTACAAGAGATAAGGATCTGTAGCAAGGCCACCAACAGATGAGATTCTCTTTTTTAATATATTTGGAAAGAAAAAAAGGGGGAAGAAAGAATAAATGCAAGGATGCCAAATTACACACAGCTCAAAGTACATAAATGAAAGGGAGTGCCTTAATGAAGAGACAGTAAGGTAGCAGTAAAAGAAAAGATGAAGTGAAAAATTGGTGAAGGGGAGATAATAAAGCCTGAAATTAATTGAGAAGAAACAAGGTGAAAGGCATAAATACATTTAAGTTGTATATGAGTAAGATATCTCAGAAAGAAATCAGTTTCTCACTATTCAGCTGTATTTGTCACTTAGAAAGTGTTGGGATAATTGACTGAAGAGGTGATGAAGTCTTCATCAACTGAGGATTTCAGTGACAAAGTGGTCAAAAACATGGGTAGTACTGTCAGTTATTGAACCGTCAACGATTTCTTCCAGGTCCATTTTCTACAACCTCACCATCCCAAAGAATGTATTAAACTGGGAATGAGTGTGGTACCTCAGTTGTGTGATTATGGGAGACTTCTTTCTGGCTCTGTTACCTCCTGGCTGAAGTTCTGAAGGTCTCACAGAGTAAATAGAGCATATACTTTGAGATGAGGAAGATGAATACACAGGGTAAAACCAAGAAAAGGAACTGGTTGATCCAAAAACATTTTCTTCTCAGATATGGACCGAAGGCCACACCCCTTACACCTTCCTACTCGTAATGAAGATCCCTACTCTGCAACAAATACATAGTTTGGCTTTGATACAAAATCAGAGTCCTCATAACATGAGACAAAAGATCCTGGGGCCCTTCTTGCAAGAAGAGAGTTATGAATTTTTCTGATGTGCTTTTATTAAACCTAAATAATTCTACTTTTTTTTTTTTTTTTTTTTTCCCCCAAAGAAAATTCCTCATAGTTTTAGCCAAAATCATTCTTTACTTCCTCTGCTGGCTTCTTTTGAATGGTGGGTAAAGAGAGGTCGCAGGTATGGAGCGGTCTGGGATTCTTCCAGGCTGCTGATTACTGATACACAAACCAACAGTCACCACCGCAGACTAAAACAAAACGTGGAACAGGCTTTTAAAAGATAAGTCTGGGCAGGTATCATTTTAGGATGTAAGAAAGACTAATTATCCCATTTTGTTCATCTTTTTCAGGGCTTGCTGGGAGGACTGACCAAACCTCAGTGATAACATCAGTGCTCCTCAGCTGAAAGTGGGAAGCTTGTATTGCTCTACTGTTGTCATAAGAAGGCACAGACTTTGGAAGCAGCAGCTCGTTCCTCTTACAAATTTGCAGTGTATTCTCCTTTTTTCCATTCTGTACCATTGAGTGTGATGATGGTAACTGAAGGAAACTTTTGTTTTCTTTGTTTGTTTTTCTGTTTTGTTTTGTTTTTCCCTGACTTTAGTTTTGAGATACTAATTTCATTATTTGAGGGTGTGTATAAGATTCTGGAAGCACATTTTACATCTGCTGTGCTGTGAGATCTTTGGTATGGTATTGACTCATTCATTGGCACCTGAGAGAGGTTTGGGGAATTCAGCAAGCTTTCAACAATCCAGTTTGAGAGACTACACAGAATTATGTCTCGCTCAGGTTCGTCCTAATTTTATTAGATTTCCACCATTTCTAATTGCATAAACATATGCAGCCAAGTGTACAGATGGGGACTGGGAAGACGTACAAGGACACTCAGAGTCTGTAGTCAGCTAATTGGTGGACTAAGTAATAGGGCACTTGGAAAGATTGATAATTTTTTTTCAGAGCATTTCAGGAGAAAATTATGTCCCCGTTAAAACTGTGGCAATCAAGAGAAGAAAGATTTTAGCAGTAGATTTTTTTGGAAATGGAGGAAGAGATGAGCGTAAAAATTTGATGCAGAAAAAAATCCAAGAGGAAGTATGTTGTTATGGGCAAGATCTGCTATTTTAGCCATAAAAAGAAGGATACGGTGTTTCAAAAACATAGAACAACTGGCTTGATCCGTATGGTGATCCATATCAGAAATCTTTTGATCAGGGCTAAATACAACAGTTTCAAATATTGCCTGGGTAAATGAGAAGTCATTTAGTATGAACACTGTTACTGGTAGGAAATGCCAAATTGTATAATGTTTTCAGAAATATTTTATATTTTCTTTTGGAAAATAAATGTTTTTGCTAGGACTAGAAAAGGTATTGGACCACAAATCCCTTTTCTGGTCAAATGATACCACCTGAGGTACTGGCTGTTTATATGAGTGCCTTCACATAAAGTAACACTGCTGTCCATTCTTGTTCAGGAGATGCTGCTGTTGGCTTATTCCCTACCGTCACAGCAGGAGGGGACAGGAGGGAAAAATCTTTGCTCAGTTTTTTGTTATGATCCATCTTCATCCATGATATGGCATCTGCACTATGGAATTCCCCCTGAATGAAAGGGAATGACAACGTCTTCACCTCCTGAAGACAGGATACAGCTCTCAGACTGAATTAGCTGCAGCTGGATAGCTTTTTGAAATCTCCACAGTTATCAGACCTGGAAGATTTTTCTATAGTGATGGCCTGGGCTAGGCATTTGGTGGGTGAGTAAATCATAATTTGTTTTGGTTTTCCTTATGAAGTAAGTGTAGAATATGCAAAACTTGCTGATCGCATATTTGGACCTGGGCTTCTCACAAAAGTTCTGCAAAACCCTCTCAAATGTCTGAATATTTACTAAGCAGATCATGAAATATTTTCCAGCAACAAAAATACAAATACAAAGATACAATAGAGTGATCATTTTGGGATGTGGTTATGTGCTAATGACTTTATTTTCTTCTTCCTCGTGTTCAGGCAGTAACATGCAAGCTGACCACATCACTGTAGTGAAATTGCTGATTAACCTTTTGACTCTGACAATTGGGACTTCTCTTAACACCACTTGGTAATGCAAAAGACCATTAGTAGTTAGTACTGGGACACCCCACCTCCAGATTTCAAAAGGTTAATGAAAAATCAAGTATCTTGCTTCTACTGGGAAACTTGGAAACCTTCCCACCAAACATTTCATTTTTTGTGATAAATAAGCCAGACCGCTTCAGCTGAGAGAGACGGGTGTTTTGCTAGGGTGTACAGCTGTTAATTGAAAAAGATTCTGTTATGCCTGTTCTTCTGGACATAGATAAAAGAGAGATTTGTTGGTGAACTTTAGTTGGTCCTGAACACCCCTTTGTCCAAATACACTGCTCAATAATAACGCTTTGTTCTGTCTGTAACAGCCATGGAAGGATTTTGAGTAGAATACTCATTTTCTTTAAGTCGTATCTGCCAGTGATCATTCTTGGCTTAAGATCAGCTGCCATTTATGTGTTTTATGAAAATATAACACCAGTTTTATGCTCAAAACTATTCTTTTTTAGGTAAAAGCTTCAGCACAAACTGGTTCCCCATATGTACCATAAATGCTATTTATCACAGGTTTGGGTCTTTAAAACAGAAAGATAATGTTAAAACATTTTCATTATCCTTTCCTTACAGCTATCATTCACAAACCATCTTTTATAATTATGGTACTAGGACATTTACATAACTGGGAAAAAGGTCCTTAAACTACATTTCTATTATGTTTGGCACTTGTGTGAAAGGATATTATATTCATGTGCATTAGAGATTGCTTATAAAAGATCAAGACAATAATAGCAGATCAGACGATAAAGGTTCCCTTTTCTCCTCCCAGACAGGCTGTCTCTGACAGAAGAATACAGTTCATCAAAAGTGTCTGCAGGTTGTCAAACTCAGTGAGATTTGGGGACACTCGGAGGCTGTCATGGCCAACAAGAAGATTTTCTGTAGGGTTCTGCCATCATTCACCCTCAGGAAATAATCACTCACTACATTCTGCATGCTCTCATGATAGAGCTCTATTTGAGAGAAAAGAGCCATTTTATCAAAGGACAATATATCCCTTCTCTTGGTCCATGCAGCTTCCATTATCAGACCATAATAAATCATATTTATGTTCTCAGTTAATAAGACTGATTACAATGCAGGTTACAGGCATGGGAAAAGCAAAGCAGGTGAAAAGATGTTTTAATGAAAATATGATAAGCAAACAGCTTCTTGTGAACATTTCAGGCTGTTATTTGTAATGATCACAGGCAATTTTTGATACATCTTCTTTAGCAATGGTTTAAGCTGCATAAATTGGCTTGCCACTTTATACGTTGAAATAGGAAGAATCCCAGTGTCCTTATGTTGTCTAGAATCATTATATACATTATAAGCATAAAATGAGTTTAATGTATGTGCTTTGAAAAGAAGGGGAAAACAGAAAATCAGGGAGGACTGATTTTAATGCTGCTCAAAATGATTTTGAAATTTTCTGTTCATCTTTGTTACTAACGGTGCATTTTCCATGAAATTTAGGAATGACATGTGGTGCTTTCATCTCCTTAAATTTAATATACTTCTCTTTCTGTTTTCCTCAATTTCTTCAAAGTTCTTTTTAGAACACTGTGCAAAGAGACAGAGAGAAAATTCTCCTCTCAATGAGTGAATATATCTGTTTTTAATGCTGGGGGGAGTTAAGTGTGTGCTTCTAGAGGAGAATATACCCCTGCATTAAATATTGAAATAAACAGTATTAAAGAGGTGCAAGGATATTTGGCTGCAGCACACCTGATGCATTCAAGGGCCAAATTCCTTAGAATCTTTTAAAGTGATTAAGATCTTTTCTGTTAAGAGTTCTCCAATGATTTCAGAGTATAACTGTACCTAAATAGCTGATGAAATGTCCTGCTCTTGTCTTTTGAAAAGCTTTCTTTTATGTTTTATTGTTTTCTTTTTTGTTGCTGTTGTAGTCATTTGGTTTATGTTGAGCATCGTATTTTCAAGACAAAGTTAAAAATTTAAAGAATAATTTCCTCCTGCTAGCACATAATGCTGACTAAGTATTTCAAAATCTACAGCACTTGCAGAATGCAAGCATTATGCTTATAATTTTTATAATGATTCTAGACAATATAAGGACACTGGGATTCTTCCTATTTTGATATATAAAGTGGCGAGCAAATGCAGAAGTCTCCATGGTGTTGTGTGTCTGCAGGAAATGTTCTGATACTTCTACAACTCTCTTAAACAAATGTTAAAGCTTTGTAATGGACCTGGCAATGGAGAATGACCATGAAATTCCCTTAACCCTTATAGGGCACTTCAGCAGGAGAAGTGATCACACAAGAAACAATAAACTGCTCTTCAAAGGCAGTATCCTGATATGACAACAGACGTAGATAATGCACTTCATGATGGAACTGCTTGATACAGGGAAAAACATGTTGTAACTGCCTTCAGTATGAAAGGGGTTTAAAAATGCTGCTTGCCAACTCCACAAAAAACAGAGCTGCTATTTCAGTTAAAGGCCAGTGGATTGTATTTTTCATGTCAGTTTTCACTAACCTCAAACATCACTGTTATGACAGACTGTCATCCAACCAAACCAGCACTGTGATGCCATTCAGGCAAGAAGGAAGAAAGCAAACACAAAGGAAACTTAGAAGTCCGAATAGTGAGAGGGGGTGTCTGTGAGTGCACTTTTGTGCAGTGATACTGATTACTGAAAATGAAACACTTAAAAGAAAATAAACCCAAAAAAGTGCTTTCTGAGCCATTGGTGTTTTCTTGCCTGCCCATTTCTCTTTGTTCTGTTTCATGACATCAGCCTTAATGGTTGAAAGGATGTTCTGGGCCAGATGTCAATCGCTATGTCTAACATAAACAAAAATAGCTAAAAAGACATGCCAGCATCTTCCTTTTGTTTTCCCATTAGCTCCATTTTTCTTTTCAGAGGCTGACAAAAAATTACTGCCTCCGAGTGAATTCAGTAATGTCACTATATATCTAATATCTAGGAGACCTTTTGTTTTAGCTTTACTGGGCTTAACCACAAAAGACACTTGACATTGACAAAGAGTCTGTCAAATACACAATGATCAGTGCAATGAAATCTCTCATGACAGAAGGGCACTATTCTGCACCCCCAGTCCGCAGCAGCCTGTCTGAGCAAAATGTGCCGGAGCACACGCAGCAGCTGAACCATTGCAGAGCAGGCCATAAGCTGAGATGTGTCTTGTTTAAAGTGTCATAGTATATTAGTGTAATTAAAACCGCCAAAAGAATAGAAAAGATAGATGGAAATGTTACATTACTTGTTTCTAGAGATTAACCTCCAGCCAGAACTGAAATACAGAGACACATTTTGCATGTCTTAGAGCTCTGATATGGAAGAAAACAAGCCTGAGAGTATGTCTCTTGAAGTGTGAGACATGAAGTCATAGTTCCTGTATTTACACAATAAAGCAGAAATAGCGTTTCAGACAGGCACGCTGTTTTCTCTCTGATTACAGCTCCTGTTGTGGCTGTACTCTGCAAAGCAGCTGTATCATCTCTCAGCTACTTCCCTTTTACTCTCTCTGCCTTCATGCTTGGAAGGTCTTGAGGACCCGTGGCCCACGAATGTGCTGGTGTCAATGCTTTCTGCTCCCTTGGCATCTGCCAATATTGTGTGGTTCTAGCCTGGAGGCAGAGCACCCTGTCTGCTCTGGTGGCTGCAGAAGCCAGAGCTCAGCTCCAGACTCAGCAACAGCCAGCTAGGAAGATGTTTGAAGAATCTGACCTTTGTATATACCAGGCTGCGTGCTTGCTTCTCTGTTGAGTCTATAGATAAAACTGCATGGCTTTCTGAAATGGACCCTGAAAATTATGTTTTTGGCACTGTATGTGTTCCTTCATGTGCATCATTACTTGTGATAACTATTCAAGCCTAACTAGTTATCTAGATCTCTGTTTCTAACTAGATCTCTGTTTCTAACCGTGACACAAGTTATATCTGGTGGTGAGAAATTTTTGGAGTTTTTTATGGAGCTGTTCAGCTGTATAGGCTGAACCTTGGTTTATCTAGAATCTGGAGAGGACCTGATCTGGCTTCAGCAGTTCTGAAACACTACAAAAGCAGCATGGCTTTCTTCTAATATAAGTCTTAATGCAAGGAGAAGATGCATTAATCAGGTAGGTCTCATGTTCATTTCTTCCACTATAAACGAACTTCAAGGCCTTGCCCCATTAGTTGATCAGTTTGAAGTCAAGAGATGTTAAATATAGGCCTTACATTTTAGGTTTCCTCGTATGTCCTCTATTTCCCAGCTTTAAATATCAGTTAATGACTTCTCCATATAGCACTTCTCTTTAATTTCTAGTCAGAGGCTGTAAATGTGCACTGTTAGTCAAAAATATGTTATCTGCATTTAGTGGTGGCTTCTGGAGCCCTCACCATGAAGTTACCTCACAATCGCATCTCTCCTCACATGGTTTTCTGAGTACTGCCAGGAGAAGAATGGAAAATAACTATGAAATAAAAGCAGATTCTGCTCCCAGTACAGGCAATGAAAACTCTACTTTTACTTCTACTTGCTCATAATAGTGGGGGGAAAAAATGAAGTGGAAACAAGCACAACAAAACACCTCTGCCAGCTATCTTTAAGCTAACCAAGGCTTCCACTAATGAGGTGGTCTGGCATTTTGAGAAAGACAAGTTTTTTCCAGAAATGGAAAAAATATGCTATTTTTTTTCCTTTGACTCTGAGAGCATAGTGAGAGAGAAAGAAATCGTATTTCAAAAAGCAAACTTTTAATGCTGTCTGTATTAGTAAGTGCTTACAGACACCAGTATAGTTTCTTGTCAGTTATGTTTTTGCGTATTTGTTTGTTAGATTACTAAGTACTTTCCTAAAAACTAGATATTTGCTGTATTTACAGATTCATCTCAGTGACTGTGAAATTCCTGAGGATGTTATCACTTTCAAGTCAGATTAACAGAGTAATTTCCAGGTAAGATATTCTAGAAGATAATTCAATACCTTGGACAATTGCATTGTCTATTAAACAGAACAGTACTGTTTGTGGAAAAGATAACAGTCTAGATCACAAGATAGCACCAGATTTTATGTTACGATCTCCAGACGTCTTAGGGAACTTAATGCACCCAGGATTGGTTCAAGTCTAATCTGCATGGCAGAAATGTGAGTTCCAGTTTCCTTTTCCCTGAGACTGTGTGGGGAAACTGTCTTCCCAGGGACTACAGAGGACAAGCTGCCGTGGTTTGTTTGTGCTTTGGCAAGAGTATTCACCACAGCTGCTCCTGGAGTGCCCAGTGGTATCAAGTGCAGAAAAGAAAAGTTTTCACCTTTACTAAGACAGTGTGGTGTTCAGGCCTTTCTAATATATACCCATCAGAGCTGGCTGTATGTTTTCCTGAAGACCACAGATGTCCAGGAGGTTCTGATGAGTCACATCTGTCTCTGAGCTTGACACGGTGTTAGTTTCATTGCCTATTTTAGGTAGATGGTGGTACAGGTAGACAGTGGTGGCTAATGATGCAATGATCTGTGAGTGCAATTGCTTTTTCATTTCAGCTTAGTTTGGCCAGAAAGTAAGAAAGGGCTCCCAAAGCAGGACAAGTGTCTTGACATGACACCCAATGCAAAAACGGATTACAGCTTCATGGAGATCTGTACAAAAATTGACAGCTGGGGACTTTGTGAGTTTCTGTCTGGAGTCAAAAATTCAGTGTAAGTGCACAGAAGAGTGTGAGGAGGGAGCATTTCAGCTCTTTCAACTCTGCGCACAAAACCTCTCAGGGCTTGAGATAGGATTTTAGTATTTCTCACAGTCTACAAATGTTGTGCTGTGTTAGGATGTGCTTATACATAATTTTGTAATTGAAATGGCATGTTTACTGTTCCATTTCATGCTTGATTGTGTTTTTTAAACACCTTTACTCATGCTGCTAGAAGTGGGATTATAATTAAAATGTCCTGTTGAACACCTTGTTCAGTTCAGTGAAGGCATAATAGAAGTATAAATACTTGTTCTCATTGACTCTATGATGTCAGCACAACAAATGCAGTACATGTCAGGAAACTAATCTCTTTTTTACCAAGGCATCTGTAAAGAGGGAAGGGGAAACAGAATCTGTGGCTGGCCAAAGTGGAGACCTCTCTACAGGAGAATAGGAAAGTTTTTGAGATACCGTTAACCTTTTAGATACAGCGAACCTGAAGTTCCAAGAGGCTTTCTGAGTGTTGGCAGACATACTAAAGGAGTTAAAGGCAACAATATTATCCTTACATAAAGTCTTTTCTCTAAAGATTTCAAAGTATTTTCCAAGCATTAGTAAGTCAAGCTTTAATAAGCAGGTTCATGTTATTATAATACCTGTGGTATATATGTGTTAACTAGGGCATGGAATGTTTGAGTGATTAGCCAGTTACTGGCAAAAATTAGACAGGAATTTGCTTCTCTACTCACAGTCCCTTGGCCTAAACACTAGGCAGTACTTTCTACAGTAGCTATTAGGAAAAGCTGAGTTTGGTTGTGAGGTGTGAAAGAGTAATATACTTCTTACTATTTCTTCTTACACATTCTTTAAGATGTGTACAGTTATGCAGACTTCATGTCTTTGTGGTAGGATTGAATTACAACACAGAGTTCAAAATGTTTATAGTTCAAAGTCCAGCGGTTCCAGCACTTTAGCATTGCAATAATGGTTTAATTTTCTTATACTCTCAGTTACCACCAGTGAAGAGATTCCTACCAATGCTGGCAGGCAATTGTTCAGTCTTATGGAGCTTCAAATAACTGTACAGCTTGAAAGTCTGAGTAAGTAGGAAAATTTCAATATTTAGTCTTATGTTTGATGCTTAGTTGGGCAATTTACTCAATACTTTGCCTAGTACTCTTCCTCTGCAAAGACAGGGAAAATAATGTCTGTGTTCATTGTGCTCTTCAACTGCTGCAATAGTGTTTTTAATATACTAGATACTGGGCTTTACACTGTACTTACACCATGAAACTTTATGTTCATGTCCTTTCACTGACTGAAAGAGGGCTCTCAGAACCAATCCCAAGATGTATAACATTTCTGTGCCAGAGCAGGACTCGCCAGTCAGTGGCTGCCTTACAGGGAAATGTACATGAAGCAGGTAAATAAGCAGATCCAGAGGGTGTGCAAATTGCCTTCTGTGCCCAGTTCCATCAACTGTAAGATCGACAGATGTCATGCAGGAAGGTGGTTCACAGGATTTCCTCTTAAGAAAAGCTGTGAGAAAGTAACAAAGTGGGAGGTTTTCCTTTTGGGACAGGGGAAGAAGGTGGTACATAGGACAGACCAACCCAGTGCTCAGAAAGATTCACTGGGATAAGTCTACTGAACATGCAAGACAAAATGTACAAGAATGTTTCTGTCAGATGGGATTGCTGCAAAACTTGGTGGATTTCTTTGCGCGTCTCATTATAAGTACAGGTGCAGCTCTACACACCCACATGTGCGGTGTTTATTTTAGTGTGTGATCACATAAATACCTGCAGGTGTGAAACTGAAGAGATAGCCGTGCTGAGGCTTGAATATGGAGTTCCACATCTGTATTTACTGCCTTTTTCACACAATGAACTAGTACAGTCTGTGGGTTCTCTTCCCACCTCCTACGTGCACTTTATAAGTAATTTTGAAGGAAATTCAGTCCTGGTAAATACATTTAATGGATGGATGTCAAGGTATAGAATCAAAATACATGAAGGTGAGGGAGTACGGAACAGCCATCAGTTCAGTGTATTGCACATATATATACATTAGAAGAAGACTAATTTCAGATAAAGAAGGTCACGTCAGGTTAATATACAGTCATAAACCCATAAAATTGGAATTTAATATGCCTTTTGAGGCATCTAAAACTTGTGTTGGCCTTCAGTACAGCGGCTGGTTTCTCTGTTCTGGCACACACAGAGGTGTTTCCTTGTGTGTAATACTGTCATATAGTCTGTAATACGTGGGGTACAAATCATGGCTACTGCAAAAACCTTTGAATTCACTGATTCGTGTGGATGTAAAAATCTCAGTTGTGGTATTGCATTTATGCAGCTGTTGCATTAAGTATTCATCTGATGCTAACTATCTGGTTACTAAGGCCCTCCTCAGTGTCAAAAATAGAAAACAGCTAAAAGATATTAACTGGGAATGGTCTTTTGCATGTAATAGTTGCCTGCAGAGGCTTAATGTTCTGAAAGTTTCACACTTTTTGTAAGGCCTTCAGTGATAACTTCTGTTTTTCAAAGAGAAAAATAAACCTTCCAAAGTTCCTTTGAACATTTCCACAGCCTTTCATAGTGTTAGCTGTGAAAGTTACGGTGTCACGTTCTTAATAAGGAGGTATGGGAATGGTGTTTTAGTAGTCTCTGCTGCTTTCTTTGTGAAAACTATCTCAGGATGCTTTGGGATTCTTTGGCAATAACTTCCTTTTGCCCCATGATTCCACAGGGATCTTCTCTGTTATTATATTCATTTGAAGATATTTTGGAGAAAACATGGAACTCGAGAGCATTCAGGAAAACCCTGTTTATGCCTCTGACTGGCTAAAGACAGGGAGTGAGTCTTTCTGTGACAGTAAATGTGGAAAAACCACATTGCTCAAAACTCAATTCAGCAATTTTTTTTTTAAATAGTACTGCAAAGAAAGAAAAAAAAATAGGACAAATTTTTGTTTCTGATGTGAATGTCTCTGCTTTGTCCAGAGGAACCACAGCTACCATCTGTGACTTGTGATAGCGACTGTGCTTCTATGCAATGGAGAAAGGGACAGAAGCAGCTAGAGCAGTAGAAGAAATAACACTGTGTTAACAAAGACTTCAGTTGAGGCAAATTTACTTCCCTGAGAATTAGCTGGGGTATCTCTCCATGACACACTTACTTTAGAATCACAGCATGTTGCAGTTATTAGACTCTGGCAGGCTCCTAGGTAGGAACCGTGTCCAAGAGCCTTTATTTCATCTGCTCCAATTGAGAAGAGTGTGGCAGTTTCTTTTGGTTGAGCCTTGCTATAACGATCTGAGCTTTAGTCACCGTGAGGTTAGCACACTGCAAAGCATTCAGCTGGCGTTACAACCAGAGACAACTGAGCTCCAAAAGTGAGTGCAGACTGTGTCTATCTACTTATTAAGTGACGGGTCATGTGGAGTGCCCATTACCCAGTAATTGGTGCTAGCTGCCAGTTAGCATTCAGTGGGACTTGGCGCATTTGTATAGCCCTTACAGACCAGAGTGGCCTGGGATTGTTCTTGCCTTATTTGCTGCAATTGTAATCAGACGGTGGCTCTCTGCTTCGCAGATCTCCCAAACTCAAACTGAAGGGCACGGGGGAGTGTGGGATCTCCCTAGAGAGTTCAGCCAGAGGGATGCCTGGGTCTCAGGGCTCTGTGGTAAGGCTGCACTCCAGTGACCCCTCTGCTTTCCCTGGCTTGCAGGTTCCTTCCCTGCACCACAGGAGAGGGAAAGGATGGAATCTGTGGTAGGTGACACAGTGCCTACACAGCTCTAAGCAAGTCTTTAAAGATGAGACCCTTGAGTGTTTTCTGTCCTCGTGGAGCCCACAGGCAGCACTCAGATGCAGAGTTCAGACACAAAGATGGGGAAGTCTTTCAGAAGGGACTGTGTAGGCAGACGCACACACATATTGCTGTGTAAGATACATGCTCTTGCAGCTTTGGTTTGGGGAACCCTTTTGTTCTCAGGCTGCCAACTGCGGGCACTGCTCTGAATTGCAGCAGGCTGTGAGGGAGCGAGGAGGAAAGTGCACGCCGTCCTGTGGGTCAGCACCGGGTGCGATGACCTCGCGCACACGGGAGCAGGATGGGGCTCTTTTCACACCATTACTTCCCGCAGTATTACGGTTCTTTTTTAATTACAGAGCAGAGCGGCACTAGGCCCAGAGGTTAGCAAGGCGGTGATTGCGTGCATGCGAGTGGCGTGCTCTCTGCAGTCCAGCGGCCGCGGACCCCCGCTCTGCGCCGCGACGGCCCCGGCAGCCCTGCGCCGGCCGGCAGCGGGAGCGCTTCGCCGGGTTGCCCGGGAGGTGGCGCCCTTGATCGCAGAGTGAGGGGCGGGCGGGCGGGCCCGGGAAACACATCCGCCCCCCCTCTGTAATTTAGGAAGTATTATAGCCGAAGTGTTTTCAACTGATTATTATGCATGAGTAAAAATTCCATGAATGTGTAACATTTTCGCCTGTATTTCCCTCTTTTATAGCATCATTTAAATTCCTCATTAATAATTTAGAAATGTTCTGGATTTTAATCACTTTTCTCATCACCGCCACCTCCGCGGCAGAGCACTGCCCGTTACCTGAAGGTGACATGGAGGCAGCTCTGCCTCACAGGCACTGCCCGGCCCCGCTTCTGCCCAGCCCCGGGCCCGCGCTCCTTCCTTAGGCAGACCAGTGTACAAACACCGAGGTCTGAGCAGGTCGCTGTTAATAAAAATTGCGAAAAAAATCAGGATTTTTTGCTATTGCATCTGAGTTTAATTATGGTGGTATTTGTTTGATAGCTTGTTACTGTAAATAAAAGAGATAAAAGCAGCCCTTCACTCGAGTAGCTCTAGAGCTGTGAAATATGTACCTAATTAAAACTATTGGTGTAAGAGGCTAATAAAGTACATGTGCCTACTAGATGTCTTATTCTAATGAATCTCGGCTAATTTGCTTTGAGTGATGAATTTCGGTGTTAGTAGTAAGGGCTGAATAATGATGGAATTTATCACGAGGTGCGGGGACTGGTGGAGGACCGTGGGGGCTCGGGGAGAGGCAGGGAGAGCCCCTGGGTGCAGGGCTCCGGTGCTGCAGAGCAGCAGGGCTGAGCTCGGCCTCAGCTTGAAAGCTGCCAGTGCCCAGCCCAGGCCTCGGAGGGCTCCGAGTGGTGGCACAGGAGTGCTGGTGGGTGCCATCCTCCCATCCTCCCCTTTTTTCTGCCGGCACTGGTGAGGAACGGGCTGTGGCATGCTTCTCCAGACTCCCAAACCAAGCGCAGATGGGTTATCTAAAGCATTTCAGATGGAGCTTTGGTCTTGTGCCAGCAGCTAATCAAAGTCTTAATTCTGGAAAAGACAAAGGCCAGGCTTTCCAAGCTTCCTCCCTCTGGTTTCTCACAGAGATGTGGCACTTCTCAAACCCTTCTTGCCCTGTGCACTGTCTGCATCACTCAGGCTGTGGGGCTGTCTGTGGGCAGCAGGCAGCTTGCACCAGTCTAGTGGGTGATGTCCATGAACGTGCGGACCGACAAGGGGCTGCTTCATGTGGGCCTGCGGGCACCTTGTCCTGAGTACACCACAACAAAGTCAGACAAGAGCGGTGTGCGTTGACAGCCCCGGCCCTGAGACTGCCATTGGACTTGTTCTCAGAAAGAGGGAAGCTGAGATAATAATAAAGGGGCTGGTTAAGCAGAGAAAAAGCCTGCAGAGTAGCACATATTTTTATTGCTTTTCTGCAGTACAGCAGAGAAAACATCCCAAGGCTAAATGTCTATTGTAGTCCCCAATGGTGAGTATTTAAACATTCACATGTGTGCACGTTCTTGCAGCTCCTTCCACTTGTGACACGGTGGGAGGGTGGAGGGGCTGCCATTCTGGCATGCCCAACTTTAAGCCAGGGCTGGTGCAAGTCTGCAGGGCTCCAACCTCATATCTCCTTGCAACATGTGCCATACAAGGGCTTTATTTATAACTAAGCAGTCTGGTTCATGCTGTCTACGCTGGAGTTAGTCCTGTTGAGTTGAAGTTACTTGCTGAAAGTGTGTGATAGTTGCAGCTGTTGAAAGCACTCTGGCAATTTCTGATATGCACATGAGTGTGGGTGCTTTTTTTCCACAGTAGCTACATCTGCAGTTTTTCTACAGAATGAAATTTTTACTACAGCTAATACTAGCTGGATAGACAGGTGGAGCTTGTTATTTTTCTCACAAAACCTACCTTTTCAGAAGGAAGAGATTGTGTTTCATGGTTGTACAATCTAATAGTGTGGTTGATTGAGAGTAAGATTGAGGAGAACTAGACACTCGCTGTTTGACCTTAGGACATTCTCTTTGTCATTCCAGAAAGTTGGTTTCTCTGTCGGTAAAAACACAGTAATAGCTAAATCAAAGAAGTCAGTCATCAATATCCAGAACTTGTGTCAGAATTTCAGTTGGAATTGTTGAATATTGTCACAGAAACGGAGTCTGTGGTGCTTTCTCAGAGATTTGCAAGAATTATTTTCTTTTACTGATAGAATTCTTTCCATGTTGCTCAATCAATGATCATTTTAATATATTTTTCTGCCTCTCAGTTACATCTCAAGTATTTATGTCCGTCCAATTTTCATGGTCTCGTATCTTGTTTGTTTCTGTATAAAATGTGCGTTGTGAGCTTGAGGGAACACTTCCTTTCGACTTCTTTGTAATTACCAGAAATAGTTTTAACTTGTTAAAACATTCTGGCCATCAGCATGGTAAACCTGATTACTCCACAGCAGACCTTCCTGTGCATTGTGTTTACCTGCTGATAACATTTCTAATAAGAAGCCAAACACCAGTGAAATGAGGGTGGTGCTTGCACTGTTGGGTCCGGTGTGACTTTGCGTAATAAAAACATAAAAGAACAAATGACGCTCCTGTATAACTAAGACAGAGAGAAAGAAACACTATTAACTTGTTTCTGCTGGCTTTTCTTCTAGGAAAATAAAGCCTGTTTTCTGGACAGGCTTTGTTAACACTGTGATCTGATACAGGGCAGCAGGGATTCCTGTGCCTGTGCAGATGTTTTTTGATTTCAGAGTGATACCACCAAGAGACCACTGCATAGACGGCTACCCTGTTTTAGAGGGCTGTATGCTAGGGTCCTCGCTGAGGCCTGGATGTTAGATGCTCTGAACTAGAGTTACACGTATTAAAAAAGCTTAAGAGCTAAACTGAGTTACTGTAACAAAGCCTGAGGCTGCAAGGAAGCTTTCCACCCAAAAAACATTTCCTAAATGTTGCTAGCAGATGGCTCTCCTATCCCACAGGCTGGGGATATGCTGACTTTTCACTCTCAGTATTACTTGTCCTCACATCACAGGACTTGGGATTTTTTGATTTTTTAATGAGCTTGATCTGATAAGCTGAGATAAACAGACTTTTAAAATAAATTTAAAATGTAAAGATAATTTATAATTCTGTTGTTGAGATTCACAGGCATGGTTAATGTAATTTCCTTTTTCCTTTGGCACTTAAGCAAAATCTGGCTTATATTTAATTCTTCTGTTGGTGGATAGGGAAGAGGCTAATCACAAGAGACCAGTAGTGCTATTTGAATGACACGTCCTGCAGTCTGTTTTTGAATGATCAGTTAATGTCTCAGCAGTATTATCTCTTTTTCTGTACCCTGCCTTTATTCACTAGCTTTATTCTACTCTTTTGCACTTTTACCTCACCCTTGTCAATGATGCCAGATACCTTGCAATAAGTAGTCCCATTTCAGAGATTCCCTGCTCACTGAACATCTGTCTGATGAAGTCTGTCTGCTTTCAGCATTTTGCTCAACTGGAGCAATGTTGTGCTGCTGCCTAGATGAGTGTATGAAGTGAATTTGGACTGGTTCAGTGCAAGGGAGCTGTTTATGAATGAACTCAGTTCACAGATGCATGACATCCAAGAAAAGTGAGTGCAAGACTTCATCCCTCTGGGTCAATAATCTTTGGGACAAGGCAAAGAGGAGACAGAAATTGAGGAGATGCTGCTGTTTTGGCGTCTGTATTTCAGGTCAGAGTCCTGTCAGGTCAGCAGAAGTCATGCAATGTGAGCAGTGCCAAAACACAGTTGATGTTTGTGTATGAATATTTATCTTCATTTTTTACTCCATTTTGCATTCTGACAGGCATTACACGCCTTCTTTGAAGACCTACCAGACAGAACCCCCAAAGGTCCTTTGTTTTGTAGTTCACCGTGCAGTGAGCCAAACAGTGGATCTGTGGGTGCTTTTGGGTCACCTTCGTCTTGGGCCTTTCTTCTGAGAGACCATCTCTGTTTAGACTGGAGTCCTTCTGAACTGTGGGAAAGAGCTCTTCCAGCTGCCGAGTGGTGACCCCAGACATCATCCTCAGGAGATGTCCCAGAGCATCTGTCTGAACTGTGAGGTTGCTTTCAGCAACTTGTGCATTTCTGCTTTGAGTGATCATCAGGGGAGGGTATGGATGGTACTCGAATCCTGACCTACGTCTCACACTGTTGTTCTAGACCCTGGTGCAAGCTGGTAAGCCAGGCTGCCTTTCCCTCCTCCTTTTAACTCACGTGTTCTTTGGCATGCCTCCAAACTGAATGCAGTATGGAGGAGAAGGTCTGCAAGTTTCTGGAGCATATATACACATGTGGTCAGATCCCCATCTCGTTAAATTAGCATGTGGAGTGGAGACCAGCTACTGATTTATGTTTTCATCTGTGAAAGGTAAATTGGATTGAAACTGTTTAACACACTGTTTAAAAAGAGGAGCTGAGATTCTTGGTTACATTTGATTTCTAAATTAGAAAGCACATGACTATGTTTCATGGACCTGAAAGAACTGGGTCTGAGTTAATATCATGCCTATACCATTGATTTCACTTGAGCCTTTTGTATCAGAAACCACATGTACACAGAGACTCACATTGTGAAGCAAGATTAATTTAGCTTTTGGAATATTATGTGCTGTATAAGAATGTTCTGTGAATGACCTGGATTGCAAATTTTGCTTCTTAATATTTGCAGTGCAAAGCACTGGTGACATGAAATACTTAATGGTTTCAGCTGAACTTTGCAGAAATGAGAATGACAGGCACCCAAAAAAAGATACATGGTGGAGAACTAAGCAACGTAAGGCCTACTGAGTTAGATATTTAAGCCTCAATCAAAATGATAATATAGATGTGAAAGTGGTTGCAAAGAATTTAGGGCTGCAGCCCTTCTAGGAACAAAAAGAGATGGCCCCTCTCTTGCAGAAAGTTAATCTGTTATTACTCTCAGCTCTAATTATGAGGAGCACAACAGAGTGAGTTACCAGGAATATCTCCCTGTTATAGTTAGAGGTTATTTTAGTGTTTCAGAAGTGTATCCACTTTTAGGGCCAAAACTCTTGGTTCTTCTCTTTGAATTGTTATAGCAATAGCTGAAATAGAGCAAGCTTCCTATGGTGAACCCACCTTAAAGAACAGGGCCACTTGAGGTAATAGAAGTAAATTAACTGTGTGCAAGCTCAGTTTTTGATGTGCTTCCTAGCAGTACCAATTCAACTCATCCAAGTTCCTAAAGGAACATGGAAATTAGGCTATTACCCATAAGTGAAAGCCGCTGTATATTGTCCTAGTGATCCCTTATGTGCAGTTGCACTTCAACATTACCCACTTTTATGTCAGTAAAAAATTGGACTACTTGGCAGTTGCAATTGCTGAGTTTATGAAGCTTAAGCAGCATAGATTACAGCTTTGTACTGGACAAGAGACAGTGAAACGATGGGTCTCCTCTGTTGTGGTTCTTGCTGGTTACCAACCAGTATCTGCTATTTTTCCCAAGCACATAGATATGCTTCTGCAGAAATTATCCTTGCACCAGTAACAGAGATAGTAAACATGTTCCTTACTCATAGTAATGAGATGCAGAAATACCAACTTTTCTTGAACTCAGTATTGCTGATAATAACTTTTACTCTTAGAAATTTGCATTCTTCCATGTGTCTGGATTGATTCCAGTCTTACATGTTCATGTGCTCTCCTAGACCAAACAAATTTCCTCCTCAGTGCCTCACTGAAACACCACATTTTGCTGCCTGCTTGGTCCTTCCCCACAGAAGAGGCCAAACAAGCATTCCCTAAAGCGCCGCAAGTAAAGCCAGCCTGGTTAGCTCATATCCATGTTCATCACCAGGTGAAATGAATCTGACTGACTTAGCTTAAAGCAGATTAGAAGGCAATTTGTGATCTCTCTCACTAATGGAGCAGTATGCCGGGTACCCAGACGGCAGCAGCAAGCACTGAAATAGGGCTATCACCTCCCAGAAGAGCTTCCATGCAGCCTCAGGTTTTCTCACCACTCCCATCATTAAACACAGTTTCACACCCCTGAACTTTCATGCTTTTTCTACATAACTTCATTTATTTTTACCTTAGTGGCCATAACTAAAGATATATTTTGACATTTTAAATGAGTCTTCTCTGTTCAGCCTGCTCTGCCTGTCTTTATTAATTAAACTTGTGTCTTCATATCAGATTTCTTGAGCTCATCTCTTTCCGTTTCAGCTCTTTGCTTTCCATTTGCCTTCATTATACCCTTCCATCCTTGAACTGCACTGAACTCTTGCTCCTTCCACATCTTCCTGTACAATACTCAGATCTGCTACATCTCTGCCTAATTTTATCATGGCTGATGCAAAATCTTAGCTGCAGAACCAGCAGTAAGGGGACAGACTTTTCTCTTTGCCACATTTGTTCTCAGTCTTCTATAAAATCTCGGCTGAAAATGAAGGACATTCTCTTCTGTGACCATAACTCTGCACCCCTCCTTTCTCTGCTAGTCTTCCTTCTGGGATATGTTTTAATACATTATCATCCATGGTAACTGCACGGTTTGTATCTGCAGCTTTTCAATATGCTTGGAGTCAGGGTTTTCCAGGTGAATCATGTATTAAGATTTAATCTGAATCTAGTCAGATAGTATTGACCTGCGTTGAAAAAGCTGTATGAATGAGATAGTAGCAGACAGCTTGAAGTGCTGAGTGAAAAACAATACCCCAGAAGTTTGGTGGCAGAGAGCCTATGGGACATTTTTTACTGGAAAAGCTTCTTTGATTATTTAAATATTTTGATCTATTTTTAAAACTTTCCCTGTCTGTTGAAGGTTTGCTGGACTTTGCCTGCTTTGGCAGTGTGCGCAGCACGGAGCTTGCAGGAGCTGCTCACTGCTTGGTAAGCTACCACATGTTGTTATCAACTTTAAGGCCTCCCTGTTTTGCTGGAGTAGACTTCCCCAAGATTGGAACAAAGAAGAACTGAGCCCAAGACTTCAGCTTCCTGATGCACCTCTCTATGCCCTTTTCAGCTGTATTTCCCACTGTTCAGTGTGAGCAGTCATTAGGAAACATGTATTTTGTTTCCAAACTCAGAGTCTCCTGAAACAAATCCCTAGGCATTGTGGTATTGCTGCAGCTTGAAGCCTCATTGTGTTAAGACCACAAACAATGGGTTGGACCTTTCCCAAACAGCTTTTAGTCCAGGTCATGGATATGAGGGATAGACAAGGGATGCCATTTCCACATTTATCTGGGTTGATTGGCTAAATGTGATGAATTATTTTAGCAAACATATTCCAAATCTCCCCCGTTGCTTTTTCACAAGTTCCAAATTCGGACATTGTTGTCAGTGAAAAGGAACAATTCGAATGCCTTTCTGAATGCATTTGAAATGAAATAAGTTACTGTTATTTCACTGGCAAACCAGCTCTTTGGAGGGGGCAAAAGTTGCAGATGGAAAAACAAATAAACAAATGAGTGAGTAACTGTGGGAGGTGCTGCCAGAATCAGAAGCAAGTCCGGATAGAAGGGGGAGGGAAAGGCCCTTGTCTGCCCTGGGACAATTCGTAGAGAACAAAATGCAGGAGAGTTCAGCAGGAAATAAATTCACTTCTCTTCTTCTTTTCCTTTCTCTCTCTCTATTTAACCCAGACAACCGTGCAACCATGCTACCAGAACTCCTGATACTACTCTTAAAGTGGACCTTTCTTTGAGAAAGCAAATGATTCCATCTTTTTTGATCAGGTTCTTCCTCTAGAGGAGTTCCTGCAGCTACAGGACCAGGAGGTAAGACCCTTGGTTTCAATTGTAGAGGGGAAGAATGAATGAGATTGCCAAATACACTAAGTTTGCAGTCAATGAGCTGAGAAAAGCATGACTGCAAGCTACCTTTCTGCTTTCCAAATCCTGGACTGGTGGAAAATCAAAACATTGTTTAGGTCAGCTTGCAGGCATAGAGTATACTTCACCTCCCATGAACTGGGGATGGAAAGTAAAGGAAGGACTGTTGCAGAGCTGCTGGTTCTCCTCTCTCCAAAGACTTCCTGCTGAGGAGAATCCTCAGTTGTCCATTTAGGGTAGTATTAGAGCTGAGCTGAACTGCTAAGGCATGCAAAGAAGCTGCAGATGGGACTGGGAGTACAGCTCCACACTTCTCTGTTGAGCCACCCAGTTGCAGCAAATGCCTGATATAGGTGGGTACGGAGGCTGTTGGTAATGGCTAGAGGCAGAGAAATGGGTCTGGTTTTAATAAAAAGGTAGTTTACGAACAGCATTTTTCTTATTTTAATGATAAAATGGATATGAAACAGTTACACTCCAGGCCCTTATTTTTCAGTGCTATTATTTTTTTAGAACATTGAAAACAAAATAAGCAGGAGGAAAAAAAAGGGGGGGAGGGGGGAAGAAAACTCCCTTCAGACAACAATCACCTTTTGAGTTAAATTCTCATGCTTGGTCTTAGCCCAGAGGGATTTGTCTTGAGTGAAGTTTGAAGAAAATCCTTTCAGCAGTTTTTGAGTTACTTAAATGTAACCATGGAGGTTTGGATTCACATGCTTTTTTGCACTTGTATAACTCAAAAATAGCTTTGCTTTAAAACTTCTAAATTAACCCTCCTTAACTTTTCAACTTGTCACCTATCCTACTGTACGGCTTGTAAAATTTTAAAGGTAATAGTATAACAAACTCAAATAATGATACTGCAGATGTTCAAATGAATCTTGGGAGGAATAAATTATAGAACTCACAGAAGGTTGATTTTGAAGAAAGAGCAGCCGTGTGCTTTAAACCATGTGTTCTTGCTGGTTTGAAACAGGCCCGATCTTTTTCACTATTAACAAGCATAAGTGTGTTTGGGTGTGGACTTTAATACTTGGTTACACACATGAAATTGAGCGCCTAAGTCCTGTTCCTTTTTGTCTTCCTCACAGCAGTGCTTCAGACTTGTCAGAAGTTTTACTGTTTTTTTTTTTTTTTTAACATGATGCTGATCAACAGGACACTTCAATGCCTCCTAAGTATTATGGACTTCAGAGTCACTCAAATGCTTGACGATTGTCTTACTGTTATTTTATTGCCAGAAGATCAAGGCAACTCCAGAAGTGACTTGGTCAGCCTTGTTTTTTCCCCTTTTTGTTTGTCCAGTCCTTGTGTTTCTTACGTTTCTTCTGTTTTGTCTTCTTTCCAATGTTTCTGCCTCACTTACTAGTCCTGTCCTCACTGCCTCCTATCTGTCTTTCGTACATCTGTCTCCATTTATTCTTCTCTAACAATTGTGCTAAAGAGAGCCTATGATAGAGAAAAATGATTTTTGCCTTGGCAGCAGCCTTTTCCTTTTATCTTTTCCCTAAATGCCTGGGATGGGTCCAAGCAGCTCTCCCCATGTTCATCATCCTCCGCATCCCTGGTGCCCTTGAGCTCCAGCCAGCAATTTGATGTCTGCCACAAGAGCACCCCCCGTTGAGCCACAATCAGATGAAGGTGTTGCAATGCCTTGTGCTGCTTTCTTTGCTCGCCATGCTTGCTCAGCCTCTTTCTAGGAACTGGACACTCGCACCAGGCCTTTCCCACAGAATAATGGCGGATAGCACTGCTGCCTTTTGCACGTCTTGCCCCTGCACTCCTCTGCCTTTTTTTCTGTAATAGGCTTTTCTGGTACAGTCTGCTGGCTCGTGCCATTAAACTGAGAGACAAAAGACTTGTCTTCAGCTATGCCGAGGGCAAGATGAGCTGGAATCCCTTGCCCCCCTGAGTCAGCACTCTACCCGAGAGATTATCAGCTGTTCTGCAGGGAGTGTGTCCTTGCAGTCCTGAGTGTGTGTGTCCTGAGTCCTTTCTTCATGTGGGAAAGCTTGGGCTAGTCTTGCCAGCTGCATAGTGGAAAAACATGTCTGTCAGGCCCTACCCTGAGAAATACAAAATATGGAAGTATTCACTAGAAAAGGGAAACAACCCCCAGAAACCAGGTTTTCTTGCACTCAGTAATGCTCTGAGAGCAATTATTCCTTATAAACTGGACCAGCTCCAAGGGAATGGATCAGAGAGAGCCCCTATTCCAATGGATTCTTTCAGCCTGTTCTGGTCTCACTTGGCTGCTGAGAGTCAAATAATGGGAATGGGTAGTGAGGAAATATGTGGAGGCTGTACAGGAGGGAAAGGAAATGTGCTGCTGAACATACTCTGTTATCCATGTGAAAGGTCCATATCCTTAGCAGACACACACACCTGTTGCTACTGCCTCTGTGGCCATTCTGAACAGAAGTGACAATGAAAATGCAGTGGAGGGAAAAGACATCTGCTAAAAGACGGCAGCGAACTGGGGCACTATAAGGATGATTGCTTCTGAAGGTGAAAATACAACAAAAACAGACTGAAGAGTCTTAAAATGCAAAATCAATGCCAAAGAAAGGAAGCCAGAATGATTTCCAAGCTCATCTACAGGCAGTTGTCCCACAGCACAAGCCAGACTCTGTCAATAGGTGGGAGACATCCAGGAATTTTCTCTCGTACAAAATTATTTGGGGTTATGTTTTAACTCCAATGGAAAAACTGGACCTGTAGTGCTCAGCTCCAAGGGAAAATACTAGCCAGTGGAAGAGCTGTGGTACCATGGCTCGGTGTGTGTGTCTGTGTGGCTGCTCCCTTTTCTCTTATCTGTTCTATAGCTTCCTTCATTCTTCGCTTCTCTCATATTACAGAAAGAAGGTAATTTTTCCTGGCCATTTACTAAAGCTCATTAAAGACCGAAGAGAACAAACAATGCTACTCCTTAGAGACTACCATTCAAAGTCATTCTACAATTCTCTGTTCTCATACTTGAGACAAATTAATTATTCCTTAGTGAAAAGTATATAATTCCTATTCTTCATTTTTGGGGTGGGGAGTGGGAAATAATAATAGGAAGTTTATATCTGAGTCGAAAGCTGTCTGTGCTGAAGGGAAATGAGAAAAAATGCGTGTTCTGAGAAGAGTAAAGCAATTATTCTAATAATAATTCTAGGGATATTAATGTCTTTTTAAAGTAGATTGCTTTCAAATAAACACCAAAGTTGAAGGGATAGGAAAGGCTGGTTTGTTTATTAATCATTCCAAAAGTGCATTTTTCTAAATGAACAAGTGCATGAGCAACTTCACTGGCACATATTAAATTTAGTTAAATGGCAACTTGTAAATGTCTAAAAACTTCTGTAACCAGAGACTAATTTGTTTAACGTGTTGAAAATGTTATGTGGATGTGAGGAACTACATATTAAACTTCAAAGCAAAATACTCCAGAGATTACACCATCTTAAAGACTGCATATTGGAAAGGCCTTTATACATTAAACATAAAGGATTTTTAATTCTCTTCTATTTTGAATACTTGTCAATCTGCGTGACTCATGCTCAGGACTGCAAACTGTCGTTTAAGGTGTGATGTCCAAGTTGAGGCCTGGACCACAGTTTGCAAGGGGCTGGCTTTTCTCTTTCATCTCTATTAATTAATCCTGTCTCAGTTTGCCCAGCGTACGCTGCTGTTGACATCACCTTTTCCATATACTTTAAAGAGTCCCCCGAGAGATCTACTGCAGAACAAAAACTGGACAGAGAATACATTTGGAAACCATTTTATTTCTCAATTACCAACCAAAACGTATGGAAAAGATTTACACTCTATCTGATTTACACAATAATTATACTTTGAAAGCTTAGGAATAAATGGCTTGATCCATGGAATCATTAGTTACTATACCAAATGTAATTGGTGTAAACTAATGAGTTTACTGGATGGCTGACCCTTAATTACTGATTATAGTTATGCTAGCCAATCAAAAATGAGTTTACATATAAAAGTACAGTATAGTATTAACAAGCATTACATTTCCAAGTAAGCAGCTTTATGATTAGTTGTAGCACACAACTCAAGCCTGTTCAGGGCTATGAAAAGCAGCTTTTTAATAATAGTGCAGTAAGCAACCATCACTCTCTTACCTCAGCGTCTATCAGACAAACAGAAAGAAACCACATAATTAATCATCTCATGCACTAGAAATAAAGCGTCTGGGCCAGATCCAGCCGGGATGCACACAGCCGTAGTCAGAGGAGCTGCAGGAGGCTGAGGATTTGCTTTAGAACAGGATACCTGACATAGAGAATTCTGTCCCCCTGTAGTAACGATGTTAAATATTGATTGATTGTACACAGTCCTGTGTGATGTGGAGAAGCCCATCAACAGAGTTGGTCTAATAGCTCCTAGAATTGAGGAGGATTCCTTGAGCAGATTCTGTATGCGGTGAGAGGATACCCACTTACTCTACTAGCAACCCTCAACATGCAGAAATTCACAGCTCATCACTATTTATTATGTCAAATGAAGAGTCAACTTTTAAATAAACTAGTAAATGAGAAGAAAATCTTCGTATTTGTTTCTGGCTGATCCTTAAGAGTTAATGTTTTTACTTAACCAGGAAAACTCAAAATTCTTATTAGAAAAAATTGAAAGCAGATTTGTATAAAAGAGCATGATTCCAGAGTTGCAACTTTAAATAGATACAACAAATATTTGGATAAAATCATAGGACTTTACAGTAGTCACATTCTTAGAGGCACTTAGGTAAGTAACGACAGTATTTTAAGGATGTGGAAATTCTCCATCTCCTCTAACTTTCCTGTCAATCCTCAGTTTCAGATAGGAGACTGCTGCAGGGAGGCATGTGCATTAGCAAATGAAGTCTGATACATTGCAGCCATGGGGATCAAGTTGGAAGAGTGTGCATTCACTGGAGCTCTGTAACCCATGTGCTCTTCAGACCTCATACACCTCACAGTTGCCAGGACTCATCCTGTCTGGATTACAGGTTTCTCTCATTTCTGCTTCTCTCAGTGAAGTTGTCCTCAGTGCTCACCTCACGTAAACAGCTAGGCTCAGTGGAGGACCATCCTCATCTGGTGGCTCTTTGGCACAAGTGCCATAACACTTGCTCATTTATTATTAAAAAAAATCTTAAAACTCAGAAGATGAAGAATGAATTAATCCTTGGAACATCTGCATATGGTTTAAAGAGAAATTCAACGCGTTTACTGAATTCCTGTTTTTCAGATGTATGAGGTCAAGAAAAGGTTAAAGTTGTTCACAAGCTCTGGCCTTAGAAGTTAATTCAGTGCTGTGCTGCGAGAGCTACAGAGTGGGCCCTTGGAACAGTGAATTGCTGGTTTGATATCAAGGTCTGTGGGCTTTAATAATATAATTAGTTTGTTTTCTAAGGAAATCCTAGCAGGGATATTATGGTCATATAAAGTCATTATACTGTTTTACAACATAACTTTAATGATGTTTTGGAATGATCAGAGTCTCTGGGAAGGGATTCTATTTTTTATTACTTGTGGG